TATTATTATTATTATTATTATTATTATTATTATTATTATTATTATTACACTGATGCTAAGGAGTTCTACTCCCCCTCCCCACCTGGAAAGAAATCTGTTCCAAATGTAAAACACAAGCAGAGGAGAGGAGTTTCAGTTTCAGTTTCACAGCACCAAGCAGCTTTAGTACAGAACAGTTGAGCTAAGCCATACCCAGGCTCCTTGCTGTCTCCTTCTTGCTCACACAGCAAATACTCTTTCAGTTTCCAAACAGCCCTCAACTCTCACACACTGACAAGACGCTAGCCATATGAATACTGATGGATGCTGGTAGGCAGAGGCAGAGTTTTTTCCCCTTATTTCCCCCCCCCAAAACTACCACATAGTTTCGTAGTGAAGCACAGGTATCGAGCAAGTTCTTCATAAACAAGGAGAAAGTTACATCATGTAAGCAAAATGTATTGCAGTAGTTTTTGGGAAAAGGCCTTCCGTGGGATAAGACCCAATAAGAAAAAAAAACCCACCATTTTTTCCCCTCATAAAATAGCTGTATTGGTTCAAAACTGTCCTGATAAACTCTGAAATAAGCAGATCTGAAAAGTATAGCTGTGCCTTAAATTCCTTCAATGTGAATTCTTCTTCAGCAACACAATCGAGATCTAAAAGATTGTGGGGCTCAGAATTTTAAAATTCAGGGTGTATATTTCTTGGGAGGAGATTTCTCGGGCAGGTTTTAAGGCTCAAGGAACCTTTTGAAATAAAAATCCAAATCAAAAGTCAGTCCTGTGAAGTCCCGGTCTCTCTGGGGATTAAATCCTTTCTTTGCGGGGTCAGATGTAGCCAGGAGGGGGCAGAAGATAATTTAAAAAGAGGGGGAAAGACCAGACATCAATCTGGTCAGTGTAACTTGATCACCCAAGAGCCAAAAATAGAAGAAGCTTTGGAAAACCCATCTATCTGGCTATGTAGAGAGTGTTATTCCTTTTTTTCAGCGTGGCCTCTTTCTGTAGGGCGATGGGGGCGCACAATTCATTGGAGATGATCTGTAGAGGGGGAGTGATGGGAAAAATAGATAAATCATATTTGCAGGAGACATGGGGACAAAGGGACAGCGGCTGGAGGGCCGGAAGTCCCAGCTGGAAGCCAGCGAAATAATTTGGATCATTTTGCCAAATCTCAGATCTGGATTTCAATGGATTTAGGGTTTGTTTTTTTGAATAGAATTCTTCCTTGGCCAAGTGGGATCGGAAACATAAGGAATTTGTCTTCGGTGCAGAAGCTCTCAGTGTACATAAAAGATACCAGTGATAAATAATTTCCCCTACAGTGTCATTAGTTAGCTAATTTCCACTGGTTTAACTGGTGGTTTAATTGGTTAAAGGGAACTGCTCAACTCTCTCATCCTTATGAACAGCTTAAACTTCCCAGAATGCTCTGGAGCAGCGTTTCTCATCGTCTGGACTTTGAAGAGGTTTGGATCGGGAAATTCTGGGAATTGAAGTCCATGCAGTTTCAAGGTCCAGAGGTTAAGGAACCACTGCTCTGGAGAAATGCCTACGTAGAGCAGTCTGGGGAAACTCCGCTAGTTCTTGCCTCATAGTTAACCGCTTGTGATGACCCAAAGGGACGTGGCAGAAAGGCAACACAGTCAGATCATCAGTAGGAGTCCCTTTATTAGCTCCAACTTTGTCCCCAATGTCCAGGTTACCTTCTGGGCTGGAGAAAAACTCTCCCAGGAACAGCTTTTGGCTGCAGAGAATCAAGTCCAAAATGTTGTCAACAAAAACTGTAACTATAAGTCCAATCAAGGCAAAATGAGGTAATTAGTCCGGCAGGGCAAGAGAAGGAATTCCAGACATGAAGGAACGGCAGTAATTCAACACGGTTGGAAGGATGCCAGGAACGCAGATAAACAAAGTCAACACAAGATAAACTCACCGTTTGCTCCCAGAAGATGCATCTCTTTTAAACTTTCTTCCCAGGTTTGTCTAATGAAGGGAATCGGGGGTCTTTCCTCCCCCGTAAGCCATGCAACTCACGTTGCTCCCTTCTCCATTCCTCCTTGCATGCCCTAGGATGAAGAGAGGGTAGGCCTGGGTCTTCCTCCGAATTCCCTCTCCCTTGTTCTACCTCTTCCCTGCTCTGCCCAGCCGAACTTTGCCCTTCCCCAGTTTCCTCCACAGCCCACAGAGCCACACTCCCACTCCCTGTCAGCTGTCCTGTCTTCCTCCTTGAATTCAGACTCCAACAGGGGCATGACACCACTATTGATGGGAGAGTAGACATTTTTTTTTCATGCTGTGGGTCACCAAGGCCATGAAGCAGATTGAAAAGATCACAGGATGCACATTAAATACCCCAGTGGGGGAATAGGGACACACTTGAAATACTGCCTCCAGTTTTGGTCGCCACAATCAAAAAAGATGTTGAGACTCTAGAAAGAGTGCAGAGAAGAGAAACAAACATGGTTAGGGAGCTGAGGCTAAAACATATAAAGAACAGTTGCGGGAATTATCTATATCTAATCTAATCTAAAAAAAGGACTAGGGGAGACATGATAGCAGTCTTCCAATATCTCAGGGGTTGCCCCAAAGAAGAGGGAGTCAAGCTATTCTCCAAAACACCTGAGAGCAGGACAAGAAGCAATAGGTGGAAACTAATCAAAGAGAGAAGCAGCCTAGAACTAAGGAGAAATTTTTTGACAGAATTAATCAGAGGAACAATTTGCCTCCAGAAGTTGTAAATGCTCTTAACACTGGAAGTTTTTAAGAAGTTATTGGACAATCATTTGTCTGAAGTGGTGTAGGGTTTCCTGCCTAAGCAGGGGCTGGACTAGAAGACCTCCAAGATCTCTTCCAACTCTGCTATTCTAATTCTAATATCAATGACTTTAGAATGCAAGGGTCAAAATGTGCACCATAGCAGACACCTCCCCCCCATGGGTGGGGTGAGAACAACTGAACTGGTATTAATTTAAACTACATTAAACTTAAGATAACATTAGAGAACTTTTGAAAAAAAAAACAGGTGCATTCCTAATTTTCATAGCACTGGCTCTGGTCAGGATGTTTAGGAAAGAACGGATGGATGGATGGATGTTTTGGTCCTCGGGGATTTACGATCTAAAAATGAAACACGAAAACATGAAACAAGCACGGTTGGCTGGCAAATTCTGGAGGTTGAAGTCCACAGATCTTAAAAGTTGCCAAGGTTGGACATCCCTGGTTTAAAGTTTGGCTCGGAGAACTGCTCCTAGTTAAGCCATTGCCCAAAGAGGCAAAGCGAGGCTGAGATACCAAGATGAATGCCTCAGTGCTGGATACCCCCAAACTGGGTGTGTGTGTGTGTGTGAGGAAGGCTCATTTCATGCCACCAGGAACCCAACTGGAGCACCCAACTTCATCATGGTGGCAAGTGGAGGCCTCTGGCTCTCCTTGGAGGTTCTTGAGATGATTGGTGGAACTTTAGACAGCGGGGAAAACTGACCCCACAGAATCCCATCCGCCCAGCCTGAATGAGCACAGATGGGTAAATATAGCCACATCTGAGTCCCTGAACTTTTCACAGCAATCAAACAAACTCTCGATGGTCCCGTCCACCCGGCCGTGACTGACAGGAACATGTTTGCTCATACTGTCTCTCTCTGCTCTCCATTCAAGCCCAACAGTGTCACAATGGTCTAAAAACTGATCCCAGGCTTGCCTAGATGCAATTAGGACGGCTCTGCTTTCTCTTAGACAAGGTCTTCTCCTTCTCCAATGGTCTTTGATGGACAGGGCCATTAAATGCTTATTTAGCCTTGAATTACATGACATCACCTGCCAGGGGAAAGCAACCCTCCCCCTCTTGATGGCTGGCCAACTGCATTTCTCCTCCTGGGGTCAACATTGAAAGAGCAACAGCCGTCACCTGGCACCGGCAGCGAAGAAGTCCCCCAAAGTTTCAACCGTCAATTTTGGGGGTATTTGCATTCCCTGCAGAACAACCCGAATCTTGCTTTCTAAAACGCGAGACTGGATGGTTTTCAGAAAAGAACCTCGGTTGAACATTGTGAAGCTGGTAGAAGTGGTTCAGTTCTTTAATTCTGCAGCTGGCTTTTCATATTGATTCTATTTCCCCTTTTGCAGTTTTTTTTTGGGGGGAGAGGTTTTCTTTTTTTACAAAGCAATGGCTACAAATGACACCTCTGGAGCTTCCAAAGAACATCACACGAACCAACTCCAAACCCTGGTAAGTTGAACCTTACTGGGTGTTGATTCTCTTCCAGCGTCCCCACGTTGCTAAACTTAATTCGATGGAGACCTGTGCCAAAAACTGCATTTATACCAGCTTTTTCTGGGCTTAGCTGATGCCACAGGTGTGGAATATTTAGAAGGAGAAAGGAAAATACGAAGGGTTGGGCGTAATTAGGCAGATGGAATCGTTTGTTGAAGAATAGAAAAACTGCAGTGGATTGATGTTGTTTTCAATGGGGAATAATGAAATCAGAGTCCAAAATATGGCCAGTTTCATTGAGGCATATCATTAACTGGACCTTTGTGGACTTAAGAAGATGATTAGAACATGGCTTGATTCAAGCATTCTTGCCCGGAAGGGTATGTGCCATCCAAGTATTTTTTGACACTATCAGCTTGTTTCAATGAACCCCAAATGAGTTTCTCATTCTCTAGATTCATGCATCACATTAAACTGTGGTTTGTTTAACCGTATGATTGCATAAAATGTGATTTTCCGGGGTATGCATAACATGTTAAGACATAAACCATGGTTTGCGAACCAAAGTGGCTAACTAACCCTTCCCTCCCTGGCCACATTGAAAGGTTTCAAGGAAATTTAATTGCAGGAAGGTGTGTCCAAAATTGCAATGTCAGTATTTGTGGGATGACAACATTGGTAAAAATACATTGGTTTTTGGCAGCCATCTTAATCTCTTTGGCAGCCATCTTAATCTCTAGGTACTAACAGTCCACTTTCCTGAACATCGTAGATCTTAGATCTGACCAGGATAGCGATTGTGCTGTGAAGTGGCTTGTATTCTGTGACCCCTCTTAATTGTAGCTTGTTGACTGTATAACCATTTTGCCAGGTGTAGAAAACAGGTTGACGTACTACCACCGCAGAGTCCAAAATTTCATTGGCTAAGTGAGCGAGACAGCTGCTAAGTTAATTTTGCCTCATTTTATGCCCTTTCTTGCCACCATAGTTAAGTGAAGCACTGCCATTTTGAAGTTAGTAACATGGTTGCGAAGTGGATCTGGCATCCCTGTTGACTTTGCTTGTCAATGGGATCACATGACTCCAAGACTCTGTGTTGTGGCCCATCAATGGCCAGCAGAGCTGGCGGCAGACTCTGACAGTGAGGAGGTTGGGGAGGAACAAGGGCCAGTCCTGGAGTCTAGGCAAGGCTCTGATGAGGGCTCTGCGTCGGAGGCAGAGATGGGGCCAGGGCAGGCTGGCAATTATCAGCTGCCTTCGGAGTCGGAGATCAGTGGGGCAGAAAAACAGCCGGAGCCTGTTCCCAATGTGCACATACACAGAGCTGCCAGGAGAAGGGAACAGTTAAGGAACAAGGGTCAACTCGATAGTAAGGGCACAGGTGGATGGTGAATGGCCCCTCCTCCCATTGGGAATAAAGAGGAGCAAAAAGGGAGGGGTGTTTGCAGGAGACAATTTGTTCAATTCATTAGGGTGAAGATCTGTTCCTGACTTCTTGCCAAGTAATTTCTGTTACAGCCTGGCGTTTGGAAGATATCATCCTGGCAACTCTCCCAGCCTGATAAAGGTCTGTAGTTGTGAAATCTCTTGAAAGACTATTCGCCGGGACTTTGCTGAGAGAAGAATTCACTTTAACCTAAATAAAAGGGGTTTTATCGGGACAAAGAATCTGCTTCATGATCTTGGGAAGCCTAAGTCAGAACTCTCTGTAACTGTCATAAATATCAGTTAGTTGCCAAGTGTTTGAATTAAAAAAAACAAAGTTTTATTAATTTTCTATTGTTTCATTAGTGCTTAATAAACATTGTGTTGTCTGGCTTCTTTTATTTGCTTAGCAGTACAGATTACCTTCTTATTCTCCGCCCCCTTTTTTCCAACCACTGGTAGAATAAATTCCACGTTTGATAATATTCTGCATCTTCTGTTTAATCTTCCACATAAGTCTGTCCATTTCTATGCAACACAGTCTCTTCCTACTTATCTCCCAAGCATCTGAATTTGGATAGCATGACTATGGGAATGCTGCAATGGTCATAAGCAGGGAAAACGGTCATAAGTCACTTTTTTGGTGCCATGGTAACCTCCAAATGATCACTAAACTATCTGTTTTAAGTCGAGAGCTACCTGTGTGTTTCTCTCATCATCTCCATCATCGTCCTTGCTTCTAGATTAACCAGCCTATCTACTTTCCTTTGAGTGCTCTGCTTAAAATGATGCTCTTTCTTTCTTTCTTTCTTTCTTTCTTTCTTTCTTTCTTTCTTTCTTTCTTTCTTTCTTTCTTTCTTTCTTTCTTTCTTTCTTCTTTTCCTATAGTAAAGGCATACCTAATTATTTATGTATTAACTGCTGCTAGAATTGGATTTGCACAAAATTGGAAAAAGTTAAAAGATTCCGACAGATGATCAGGAAAATATTAGAATGTGCAGAGATGAATAGGCTAACCCTTGCAATTAAAGGAAAGGAACAAACTGAACATTACATGGTATTATCTATTTTATCAATGGCTGGAGAACAAATATGGAAATTAGGAATGAAAGAAAATTAGCAAAAAATAGTAAGCACGTGAATAAGAATTAAACATGCTAAGAAGGGGATTGTTATAATAACTAGACATATTATGCATGGTAGTATAAAGTAAGAATAGAATACTGATACTATAGTAATGAATATTGTATTAACTGTCATTGTTATTGCACAAGGTATTTGTACCCAGATGACACACTGTTTAAATGGAAGATGGATTGTTTGTATAAAATAAAATACAAAATTAAAAAAAAAAACCACGATGCTCTTTTGGCTAAAAAGGACCGTGGCCATACTGGTAGATGGGCAGAAGTAACTCACCAGCAATTCCATCTCTGGGATGGAGGAAGAGGAAGGGGGATGAAGTGGCTCCTTGAGGAGGGGGTGTCACTGCAGTTAAGCCTTTGAAAGAGTGGCTTTCAGTTAACATCATCAGTGCTAAAAGGGAGGGAGGTTTGGAGGGAGGAAGAGGAGGAGGAGGAAGGAGGGCGGCAGCTATGGGGTCCTTGGTGCTCTCTGAACTTGCTCGTTTCCTTGCAGACGTTTCATTGCCAAACTAGGTGACATCATCAGTGCTGGAAGGGAGTGAAGTTTGTGGAAAGGAAGAGGAGGAGAAGGAGGGAAAAGATACATTCCTCTGTGATTCTTGGTTGTTTACTTGCAGATATTCCATTGCTGGATGAGGGAACATCTTCAGTGCCAGAAAGGAGTGGGGTTTGCAGGGAGGAAGAGGAGGAAGAGAAGGAGGAAGACTGCGGGATCCTTGGTGCTCTCTGAGCTTGCTAGTTTCCTCGCAGACGTTTCATTACCCTACTAGGTCATCTCATCAGTGCTAGCCCTCATCACTGTGCAGCCTTGACGGCGTTCTCTTCTTGAGCAATAAAACATTGGCAAGCAAACAACCAAGAATCCTCAGAGAGCACCAAGGACCGCACAGTCTCCCTCCTCCTCTTTCTCCTCCTCCCCATTCAGAGAGAATTTTTCTGGTTGAGTAGTGCTGGAAAAGAATGGGGAAAAAAAAATGCTCCATTGGGTTCTTTGGTTGAAGGATCCAATTATCTCACACCCCCAAACATTTATGTAGGTCTGCCTGCCTTCATCATTTGGGTATATTCAGCAACTCTTGAGTTGCCCAAGCGTTCTCACACTTTCTCTTTAAAACTTCTTCCCACTTGGAAAAGATTTGATAAGGAGCAAGCAATGATGACACAATGGAAACTTTCCACCGACTCTGGAGATTAAAGCCACCGGTGCTTATTTCTGACAAATGGAATTATTTTCCTGGGAAGGAATGATGGACCAGAGGGTAGGGGGTGGTGGAAGGAAGAAATGAAAACAACCAGCAAAAGTAGGCCAGTACATTTTGCTCATGTTGTGTATGGGATTTGCTTTGTCATCATTCCAGAGAAATAAGGATGAAGAGAGACATCAGCTGGATGCAGAAGAGGAACAGAAGAACGAAGAAACGATGGGCAAGAAAACGCGAGGCGAAAGGATTAAAGAATTTAAAACTTTCATTTGGAATCCAGAAACCCGGGAATGTTTGGGCCGGTCTGGTAAGAGCTGGAGTAAGTGAAAGTTATCATTCCTCATTTATTTCCTATTGAGATAAGGATGAAAGTTGTATCAATACTGCATCCCGTGTGCACAATGTTGCTTTTTTAAAACGGAGTGGATGAGAAACATTTTCAGTTTAACACCGGGAATCTATCCAGGGAGGAGTAAACATGGAGCAAAATTTTGGTTATGCAGATATTATTAAATTGTTCCTGATAAGCCAGCATAGACGAGCACATTTCTTGCTTTGCTTCGTCCATCTTAATAAAATGAGAGAATTCCACAGTGAGCTGAAACAAGAGTTTTACAAGCATCATTTGTAGTTTGCAACTTTGGTTTAAGACCGAGTGCCAGACTGCTAGCCTTCATTTATGCATTAGAAGCTGTTTTTCAGCCTATTTGCCCTTGTTTTTATTGTCCTGTACCGTCTGCCAGATGGTGGTAGTTCAAAAAAAGGGTTCTCAGGATGAGAGGGATCTTTAAAGATGTTTTGAACTTTCTTAAGGCAGCATAGGTTCTAAAGCTCTTCCAAAGAGGGGAGAGGACAACCTTAAGCAGCAAACATGATTAAGGGACTGGAGGCTCAAACGTATGAAGAATGGTTGCAAGAATTGTGTGTGTCTAATTTAATGGAAAGAAGGAGTAAGGGGGACATGGTAGCATCTTCCAGTATTTAAGGGGCTGCCACAAAGAAGAAGGGGAGTCAAGCTATTCTCCAAAGCACCTGAAGGCAGGACCAAAAGCAATGGATGGAAACCCATCAAGGAAAAATCCAATCTAGAATTAAGAAGAAATTTCCTGACAGTGAAAACTTCTATGGAACAACTTACCACAAGAAGTTGTGAATGCTCCAACACTGGGAGTTTTTAAGAAGAGATTGGACACTCCTTTGTCCAAACTGGCATAAGGCTTCCTATTTGAGCAAGGGGTTGGACTAGAAGACCTCCAAGGTCCCTTCTAACGCTGTTATTCTGTTCTGTTATTAGTGTGCTGTAAAAATGCAGCCTAATATAGTTTAAAATGTATGTAGTAAAAGAGTTACGTGCATCAGGCTAGAAACTAAGAAACTGTGGCTATGGAAATTCGCAGTCATCCCAGTCATGGTGGTCCCAAAGATGCTTTTCCCCCCCAAGGTTTTCTTTGAAGACATTTCGCTCCTCATCCGAGAAGCTTCTTCAGTTCACAAAGAACTCCCTTTTTTCTCAGTGCCTTTGTGACTTTCAACAGTGGTTAAGCTAACCATCATAGGTCAAGGACTGCCTGGATTTTTTGAACTGAACTGTTCTACTATTAGGTCATTAAAAAACGACATTGTAACGGTTGTAAGTTGAGGATTCCCTCTGTGTGAAATTAACAGAAGGATGAAACTCTGCTATGCCAAATATTTTGGATTTGATTCTTCCGCCTTTAAGCTCAAACTGCCCAAGGAGCTGCTGATCCAGTTCTACAGAGGAATCATTGAGTCTGTCATCTGCACCTCTATAACTGTCTGGTTTGGCTCTGCAACCCAACAAGACAGACACAGACTCCAGGGGATAATTAGGATTGCAGGAAAAACAATGGCTACCAACCTGCCTTCCATCTAGGACTGATGGCTTTCACGGGACGAATGTCTCGCTTAGCAACAGATGTTGGGGACTCGGTTGTGGTCATAAGATGAGGACCACCCTGCGTTCACAACTGCAGGGGTTCAGTGGTCAACTGTGGTAAAATGGGGCAGAATTCACGGAAGGAATGACTCCCTTAGCGACAGGCGTTGGGGATTCGGTCATGGTTGTAGTAAGTTGTGATGCATTCACAACTCCACAAACAACGGTGGCAGGAAAGTTTGCACAACGAGGCAAGGTGTGCCGTAAATGCTTCACTTAGCGACAGAAATTGGGTGTGTGTGTGTGTGTGCTCTCCATTTTGGTCTTGAGTCTACCCATATCTCAGTTCAAATGGCCCGTATGAGCCATTCCACGCCTGGCCAGCAGCGTCCCCCTTGCTGTGTTCAAAGAGAAGCTCCCTCCCGGCCCTTCTTGACCCCAGGCCAAAAAAGCTCATGGGTCCAAATTAAGTTTTGTTTCTCCCCCACCCCCCTCAGCAGCTACCCCCCCCTCCACCCCCACATGTCCTGTCCCCACGGCCATTCCCAGAACTCAAAATTGCCCGTAACGTAAACACCTCAGGAACGCAGAGGCCAAAAAGTCACAGCTGCGCTAAAAGCCTGCTTTGGAAAATGCACTTGGGATCCCCGCTGGGAAATCAAAACACAGTGAGAAGCTTCCATGGGGTGGATGGAGGATTGACTTTCGTGCATTTTTAATTTGGGGGTTGTTTTTTTCCTCAAAAGGCCTGGGCTTTATTCTCCTTCTAATGGGATCACAAAACAACAAAATTGGAACGGATCTTAGAGGTTGTCTAGTCTAACCTGCTGCTCAGGCAGAATAGAATAGAATTTGAGAATGGAATGGAATAGAGTAGAAATCAGGAAAGTATAGAACAAAACAGAATATGGAATGGATTAGAAATAGAAATAGAAATAGAAACAGAAGTAGAATAGAAGTAGAATAGAATAGAATAGAATAGAATAGAATAGAATAGAATAGAAGAATAGAATAGAATAGAATAGAATAGAATAGAATAGAATAGAATAGAGGAATGAAGAATAGAATAGAATATAATTCGAATAGAATAGAAATCAAATAGAATAGGAATAGAAATAGAATAGAAATAGAATAGAGGAATAAAGAATAGAATAGAAATAGAAATATAATTCTTTATTGGCCAAGTGTGATTGGACACACAAGGAATTTGTCTTGGTGTAAATACTCTCAGTGTACATCAAAGAAAAGATACATTCATCAAGAGTCAAGAATCATCAGGTACAACACTTAATGATAGTCTTAGGGTACAATAAGCAATCAAATCATACTAGGAAACAGTCCATATAAATCGTAAGGATACAAGCGACAAAGTTACAGTCACAAGTGGGAGGGGAGGGGTGTTAAGGAGTGATGAGAAGATTAATAGTAATGGTAGTGCAGACTTTGTAAATAGTTGGACAGTGTTGAGGGAGTTATTTGTTTAGCAGAGTGATGGCATTCAGGAAAAAACTGCTCTTGTGGCTAGTTTTTTTTTATTGGCCAATTGTGAAGATCTTCTTAGGAGAAAGCATGCAGTTCTTTGGCCAACTGGAACACAGAATAACAGAGTTGGAAGGGACCTTGGAGGTCGTCTAGTCGAACCCTCTGCTCAAGCAGAAGACCTTATACCATTCCGGACAAATCGACCTCCGATCACTTCTTAAAAACATCCATTAATGGAGCACCCACAATTCCTGGAGACAAGTTGTTCCACTGGTTGATTATTCTCACCGTCATGAAATTTCTCCTTAGTTCTAGGTTGCTTCTCTCCTTGGTTAGTTTCCATCTGTTGCTTCTTATTGTGTCTTCTGGTGCTTTATTGGTGCAGGAGACAGGAAGAAAAACCATGCAGTTCTCTGGCCAACTGGAACATAGAATGACCATGTTGGAAGGGACCTTGGAGGTCTTCTAGTCCAACCCCCTGCTTAGGCAGGAAACTGTACATCATTACATGTACATACATCATAACCAGACAAATGGTTATCCAATCTCTTCTTAAAAACTTCCAGTGTTGGAGCATTTACAAGTTCTGGAGGCAAATTGTTCCACTGATTCATTGCTCCCACTGTCAGAAAATTTCTCCTTTGTTCTAGTTGCTTCTCTCCTTGGTGAGTTTCCATCTGTGGCTTCTTGTCCTGCCTTCCCCTGGTGCTTTGGAGAAATAGCTTGACTCCAGGAGAGTTGAAGTCCATCCATCTTAAAGTTGCAAAGTTTGAAAAACACGGACTTCAATATTGTATTGTTTCAAATCAGGTGGCTGTCTTAAACTTGCTTCCTCTAGATCAGTGGTGGCCAAGCTTTTTTGGGCTCCTGTGTCAAAAATTGTGTGTGCGCTGGTGCCTGCACGCTCGTGTGCCAGCACCCAGAAGGCAATGTGCCCACCCCCCCATGCCCCTGCGCATGCAATCCGCCCCTCCCGCTCAGCCACCCCCTTACGTGCACTGCACCTCACAGCTGATTTTCGGCCTCCCATAGGCTTGAAAAAAGCCTCTGCAGCCTTTGCAGGCCAAATAATAGGCCCATTTCATCATGTCCAGACAAATGGCTGTCCAGTCTCTTCTTGAAACAGGCATGATATTCCCCTCTGAAAAAAAAATCGGGGCCGGCCAAAAGAGACCCCCCCCACCGCGCGCCAAGAAATCGCTGCCCAGCTCCCTTTTCCTGTCGCTCAGCGGGCTCCGCTCGCACCGCCCGGGCTCCGCTCGCACCCCTCAGGTATCCGGCTGGGGCTGTCAGGAGTTGCTACCACCGGCGCGGCTCCGCGCGGCTCCAGTCCCGTGTAGCCTCGGGAAGGGAAAGGCAAAACCAGGAGCCGCTGCTGCCGTTGCAAAGCGCCGCCGCGGCTCTTCCTTTTTGCCTTTCCCTTCCTGAGGCAACGCGGGACTGGAGCCACGCAGAGCCGCGCCAGCGGTAGCAACTCCTGACTCGGGGCCTCCGAGGGGAGGGGAAGGAGGAGAAGAAAGGGGGGAAAAGGGGGGGGCGATTCCCAAAAAAATCAGAATTCCGATTTTAATCGGAAGAATATCATGTCTGTTGAAACCCCCCAATGATGGAGCACCCATCACGAGGCCATCAGCTAATAGCTCTGCTCTGTCTTTCAGGTCTGATACTCCTGTTTTACATTGTCCTGTACACGTTCCTGGCTGGCATGTTCATATTGTATATGTACGCAGTCTTGATCATGCTGAGCCCCTACACACCAAGATACAGGGACAGGGTTGCCCCACCAGGTAAGTGCTCCAGTGCGGCTTGTAAGGCGTCCATTGGAAGGGAAGACACCAAGGGTGTGCAGGCAGGGGTGGGATTCAAGTTTCTTAACAACCGGTTCTGTGGGGGTAGCATAATTTGTGGGTGTGGCTTGGTGGTCACGTGACTGGATGAGCGTGGCTTGTATGTAAATATTGTAAATATTTATGTAAATATTGATTTTTTTTTTATTAAAAAGAGAGCAACTTTTACCCAGAATCAGGCAAAGCAGGCAGGCAGTTTGAGTTGCACACAGAATCACAGATTCACTCAGAGATCTATCATTCTGCAATCTGCTACCTGAGTCTGCACTGAAAAATAGAACTTCAGTCCTTAAGGAAGGTTCAGCTCTGCTTTTAGATTAGCTAGAAAGAAAGAAATCCAATGATTTCCCGCTTTCTAGCTAATCTAAATCACCCGGCACAGCAGAACACTGGATGGTCGCGGAAAAAAAAGGAAAAATAGCAACTTATAAAAAATTAGGCTAACACAGGCAAGTTGGATGGTGCACATGCCAGGTAAGGAGTGAGTAGGCGGGGCGAGGAGGGGCGGGGCCAACCAGTGGTGCGATTTGCCAGTTCTCTGAACTGGGCAGAATCATAACAACTGGTTCTATAGAACCGGTCCAACCAGGTAGAATCCCACATCTGTGTGGAGGGACTTAGAGCAGAGAAGACATGTGGTGGCACAGTGGTTAGAATGCAGTATTGCAGGCTAATTCTGCTGATTGCCAGCAGTTTGATTCTCACTGGCTCAAGCTTGACTCAGCCTTCCATCCTTCCGAGGTTGGTCAAATGAGGACCCAGATTGTTGGGGGGGGCAAGAGGCTGACTCTGTAAACCGCTTAGAGAGAGTTGTAAAGTGCTATGAAGTGGCATGTTAGTCTAAGCATTATTGCTATTGCTAACTCTGCCCACTGTCAGGAGTTTGATCCTGACCAGCTCAAGGTTGATTCAGCCTTCCATCCTTTTGTGGTTGGTCAAATGAGGACCCAGATTGTTGGGGGCAAGAGGCTGACTCTGTAAACTGCTTAGAGAGAGTTGTAAAACGCTATGAAGTGGCATATAAGTCTTAAGCATTATTGCTATTGCTATGCTGGCTAAAATTAGAGGCAACTACGATGTGGATATGAAATAATTGATACATACCCATTTACAAATTGCATATGTTTCATCGTCCTTGCATCTGCCATATTTTGGGGAAGAGTTGGTCAACATCATAGGAAAGGATGCTTTGGGGAGGTTGATCTAAGAATTCTGTTTTATTTTTCCTTTTAAAATTTATTTTCACAGGAGTTACGATTAGGCCATACATAAAGCAGGCCTACAACATTGCCTTCAGAGTCTCCGAACCTAGTTCATGGCAGCCTTATGTGGACAACCTGGAGCTGTTCTTAAAAGGTGCCCTTCCTTTCCTCCTTTGTGTAACTGTTTATCTATTCATTGTCTGTGTTTACTTTTTTTTCTTTGCCTCCAAAAAGCTGCATTTCCTTTTTCATTCCTGTTTTGATTTCAAACCCAACCATTCCACACGGTAAAGAGAAACAAAACAAAGTCAATTTGACTGACATCTTCAGCTATTAAGAGCTCTAAAGACTTGGGAAACACGTCCAAAGTTTGCTATTTGAACGGTATTTGCCTTTAAGAAAAGCAAAAATTGCGCCCTTCTGCAAAGAAATATTTTTAAATATTGTATGCATAAGCTGTGGGTCATGCACAGCTTTAAAAACATTGTATGCATAAGCTGTGGGTCATGCCTCTGGTGGAGACTGACTCTGAGGAAGAGGAGGAACAGCCAACAGGGAGTGGAAGTGTGGCTCCAGAGGTGGTGGAGGAGGCTGGGGAAAGGCAGAGGCCAGCTGAGCAGTCAGAGGAGGACCCAGGCCCATCCCTTATCCATACTAGGGCATGCAGGGAGGAGAGGATCAGGTAAAACGTGGTCTATTTGGGAGGAGAGGGCCATGATCCTCTTCATGGGTTGCAGGTGTGAGATCTGCATAAGAGTTTGGACCTGCGTGCTAACAGATGCTGGAGACCAATTAGTGTTTTATTCCTAAAGAAGGTTTATCTTGGTTGGTGTTCTTCCAACGGACTGTCCCTGGTTATCTTCCTGAAGTTGGCAATTATCTATCCTGGTCTGTCGTGGAACTTTATTCAATGCAGTTTGTTTTTGTTTTTTGCTTCGTTATCGGCTCTTTGAATTTGAACTGTGTTTTTTTTTCCTTTGAAATGTTATTTTGAAAATAGTTTACTCCTCCACTGTGAACAATTAAACAGTGAAGCCAAGTTGAAGGCATTAAAGGATCTTTATTTACGTTTTGGTTTTTTGTTGTATTTCTGAAACAGTCTAGGTCATCACACTGTGTGATTGGCCCAAAGTCATCCAGTCAGCTTTCATGCCTAAGGTGGATGTAGAACTGCCAGTCTCTTAATTTCTAGCCACTAGGCCAGACTGGTTCGCTATATGCTGCTCTGGAATAGTCCACTACTATCAGAGAAATATGGAAGTCTTAGAACCAAAACCACAATGGACATCTTTCCTACCAACAGTCCTGATTCTGAAAAGAGAAGGAGGCTTTTATTTATCCTGAAAAGCTGTTGTGGTGTGTCAGCTACCGGCTGCTCCAGCAGCTGAATTAGAGTAGTAGTAGTAGGAGGAGGAGGAGGAGGAAGAGGAGGAAGAGGAGGAGGAGGAGTCAGGACCAGCATCAAGGCAACCTGGGAGCTTTGAGGGGGAAGAGGGAATGGCGCTGTCAGAGAGACAGACAGAGGCGGAGCCTGGGCTGTCCATCAGTCTTCAGATGGAGAGTCAACAGCCCCCAGGTCTGGAGGTGGCTGATGAGGAAGAGGAGGAACAGCTGGGTCCAGTGCCTGACGCGCGGATGCGCAGAAGGCAGAGGAGAGGAGAGCAGTGGAAATCTATGGGCCGGCCCTTGGGACGGAAGAGCCACCGCTGCTAGCGAAGCCCCACCCTAGCTCCGGGGATAAAATACAGGAGGCGGAGATGAATAGATGTGGCAGACAACTATTTATCTTCCAGACGGACGGACTAGTTAGCCTGCGAGAGGAACTTTTTGCCAGGGCTGCTAGCATCCCTAATAAAGGAATCTTTTGAGTTCACATCAGAGAGTTTGTCGTATTTGGGGAGCTGGGTCAGAACAAAAGCCCAGCATTGAAACGCGTTGCAGTAAGATCTACATTCTCTGTTGTCTTTAGAGTATGACGACAAGGTTCAAGAAACCAGAAATGTCCCTTGCACCCCAGGCGCCTATTTCGTGCAAGACAGTGATGAAGCTGCGGTGAAGAAAGCTTGCCAATTCAAGAGGTCCCAATTGATGAAGTGCTCTGGAGTTCAGGACCAGACCTTTGGATATTCACAGGGCCAGCCTTGCATACTGCTAAAGATGAATCGTGTAAGCTCATGTTATACTTGCTTACTTCCCCATGGGGTGGACTTGAGAGGTTTGAGTGCTGGCAGGTCCCCTTGGGGTGGATTTTAGAGGTTTAAGATGCTTGTAGTGGGTTCAAGTCAAGCACGGAGGTTTGCCTAATTGGGAGTTGTACTATCAAGCTGCAAATTTGATGTGGGCCAAGGAATGGATAACATTAAGAAAGACTAGATTGTTGACACTAGAAGGACATGATTTGATGACGATCCAATCTTAAAAGCCTCCAGTGATGGAGCTCCCACACAACTTCTGGAGGTTCATTGTTCCAACTGCCAAGAAATTTGTCCTTAGTTCCAGATTGCTTCTCTCCTTGATGAGTTTCCATCCGTGGCTTCTTGTCCTGCCTTCTGGTGCTTTGGAGAAATAGATTGACTCCAGGAGAGTTGAAGTCCATTCATCTTAAAGTTGCAAAGTTTGAAAAACACGGGACTTCGATATTGTATTGTTTCAAATCAGGTGGCAGTCTTAAACTTGCTTCCTTTAGATATTGGGCATTCTGCTCTGATGGGGAGCCATATAAATTGGATGATGAAAATAAAAATAAAACTGGGTAAGGAGAGATCGAGGAAGGCTGTGTGAACAGTTCTGTGGCCCTTGAAAAGAAAGCAATAGGAAGTTCGAAACGGTTGTAGCTTCTGATCTCTTGTTTTTGTTTTTGTTTTTCATTTTTACCGGCAGCAAAATAGAGTTTAGAAAATTGAGGTGTTTTTAAAGGGAATTAAAAAGCTTTTGTTTTTGCAGATAATCGGGTATCAGCCTGGCTACGGCACTCCAATTACTGTGAGTTGCAAAATCCAGGTAAATTATCTTGATTTTATTGGTTCCATTTGCAAATTTGCACCAGATATTCTTGGCAGCCAAAAACTCTTAGAGCCAAACCTATCCAACCTCCTTTTTTTTTTCTTTTTAATGAGACACAATTTTGACATAATACTGTGAACAGCAAGAGGTAGTTACCATTTAAATCAGATTTTACCAGCCTGGGCACTCTGTAAATGACGTGAGGAACAATCCTGGTTTAGCTATAAGGGTCTTCAGGTAGTCCTTGACTTACGACTGCAATGGGGACTCAAACTCCAATCGCTAAGTGATGCGGTCATTGAGTTGCGCTCAATTTTACAACTTCTGTCCTTTTTTTGCCACTGTCTACATCAAGGCCAAGGATCTCCCATCTCCCATGATTGTCAATAATTTCTGCAGGATTTTTGGCAGGTAAAACTGCTCATCACCTGCCCCGTGTTCCTTAAAACAATTACAAATACTCAATTAACAACAGTTCATTTAGTGACCATTATAAGTTACGATGGCACTGAAAAAAACTGACTGAGGAGTGTTTGTCATACCTACAACCCTTGCAACCTCCCCCTGATCACCTGATCAAATTTCACATGCTTAGCCACCGATTGATACAGCTGGGTCCAGCGCCTGAGGTGTGGGTGTGCAGAAGGCAGAGGAGAGGAGAGCAGTGGAAATCTATGGGCCGGTATCCCGTGACCCTCCATTTGCAACCTTCTGACCAGCAAAAGTCAACGGGGAAGCCAGGTTCACTTAACAACTACGTTACTAATCTAACCGCTGCCATGATTCCCTTAGTGTCTGGGGCAAGAAAGGGTCGTAAGATGGGGCAAAAGTCGCTGAAGAAATGTCTCGGCAACAGAACTGTTGACGACCATTGTGGCCGTTAAGTGAAGTACTGCTTGTAATCAGGGCTGGGCTGCTGGGGGTTCGCAGGGGTTCGGGAGAGACCCTAGCTAAGATACTATGCAGTTCAGAGAACCCCCAAATCCCACTTTGGCTGGCCCTGTCCACCCTGCCCCGCCCCTCCCCGGAATCCCCACGTAGCCTGTTTTGGATGCAGGTAAGCGCAGGGCCTGTGAAGTGGCTTGGGGAGGGTGAAAAACGGGCCTCCCGGAAGTTTGGGAAGGTCGGAAATGGGCCCGTTTCCGGCTTCCAGAGAGCCTCCGGAGCCCGGGAAGGCCGTTTTCATCCTCCCGGAGACTCAAGGAAACCACCCTGCTGTGGTGCAGGAGGCCGACTAGGCCACACCCACCAAGCAACCAGGCAGAGAACCTGTTGCTAAAATTTTTGAAGCCCACCCCTGCTTGTAATCCAAAATTGTCAGGACGTTTTGGAGAAGGGAAGGACAATTTTTATATCTGGGTACAGTGGCTAGCCGATTTCTATCAACCGAGTCGCCGGTTGTCGATTTGTCATGTATGTTGGCTTAATTATTCTGTTTTGGATTGCAGAAAGGCGAACAAAGTCACCTCCAGTCACTAGACTTCTTCCCAAGCGAGACATTTGATCCCATGTATTTCCCTTATTATGGCAAACTTACGCACGTAAGTAGAAATTTAACCGTTGGATTAATGTTTGTGTGAATCACCCCTTTTGGTATTGAGGATGCTTTCTGGAGAAAAAGTCCACACTGGTGGCCTCCAGATGTTTTGAACTGCTGGAGATACAGTCTGTACAATTCTGCCAGCACTTATCCTTGCTCTATTGATGCTTGAAAAATTATTTTACAATTTTGTATCAAAGTTAAAATTGTGTTTTTAATGACCTAATATCAGTTCAGTTAGAGACTAACAGAATTGGAAGGGACCTTGGTGGTCTTCTAGTCCAACCCCTGCTCAAGCAAGAGACCCATACCATTTCAGACAGAACTTTGCCCAATAGAGGTAGTTAAGCCTTTAGTTGAACGTCCAAAGTTACGAGGCTCTTCCTTGTACTTATGACTGATGCAGTGTCCCACAGTTGTGGGATCAAATTTTGGGTGCTTGGCATGTATTTATGGCATTCATAGCATCCCAGGAAGATGTGATCACTATTTGCGATCTTTCTGGGGAGCGTTCTGACCCAGCTCCCTAAACACGACAAAACCTCTGTAGTTGAAGCAATGATTCCTTTTGTTAGGAGTGCCGGCAGCCCTGGGAAAAAGTTGCTCTCACACCACAAGTTAACAAGTCTGTCCGGTTGGGAGATGAATAGCTGTCTGTCACGCCTACACATCTCTGCCCCCTGACTTTTATCCCCAGAGCTAGGGCGGGGTTTCGCCACAGCGGGGTGGCTCTTCCGTCCCAAGGACCGGCCCATAGATTTCCATTTCTCTCCTCTCCTCTGCCTTATGCACATCCATGCATCAGGCACTGGACCCAGCTGGTCCTCCTCTTCCTCATCAGCCATCTCCAGACCTGGGGGCTGTTGACTCTCCATCTGAGGGCTGACAGACAGCCCAAGCTCCACCTGTCTGTTTCTCTCTCTCTGCCAGCTCCATTCCCTCTTTCCCCTCGGAGCTCTCAGGCTGCCTTGATGCTAACCCTGACTCCCACACCACCTCCTCCTCACCTGATTCGGCTGTAGGAGGGGCAGGCGGCCGACAGTCCACAACAGGGAGCTTCCGACAACTGAAGTCCATGGGGGAAGCTTAACAACTGTGGGATTCACTCAAACCTCTGGCGATTCACTTAAGAACCATGGCGACAAAGTGCATAAAAGCAGGTGTAATGACCCCATGGCTTAGTGACGGGAGTTCCATAAGTAGAGGATTACCTGTCAGCATTTTTTCAGGGCTTTCTCTTTCTAATGATGGTTATTGCCCGAAGGGATAACCTGTTCCTAGAGCCCACCGGTAAACGTTTTATCGCGTATGTTGTTTTTCATTGCTTTCCCATTTTGCGCCGTTTCCGAGTCCGAAATAAAAGGTCTCGCTTGGTTGATCCTTTTCCAGGTGAACTACACGCAGCCCGTGGTAGCCATTCATTTCACAGGGATTACAAGAAACCAAACCCTGGACCTTCAATGCCAGCTGAATGGGAAAGGAATTATCAACACGGTGAACAACGATCGGTTTCTGGGACGGATCATTTTCACACTAACCGTCAACAGCTAAGGCCAGGTCTCCGTTTTGTGATCACCCCTTTATGGCAATCAAACATTTCCTCAAACAAATCCAATTGGCCATTGACGTAGCACCAGGAAACTCCAGACCTATTTTGAGGGATGGTTTTTGGTTTTTCTTTGGAAACATAAATACAATAAAAAGATAGCTCCCAAGATATGGAACTCAACATAAACATAAAGCGCTCGAATACATTCATCCTCCGAGTAAACCCATCAGCCCAACGAGAGAATTTTATTTTATTTGTTTAAAAAAAACATTTTAAATAAAACAGCGTTTTAAATCTTTGCCCCTTAGGTGCATCGGAAGGGATGGCATTTGGCACCAAATGGGAGTTTTTGCCATCGTACCACAAATTGGTTTTATTGTTATTTAAAAAAAAACATTTTAAAAAAAATTCTCTTTGAGGAAAAGATAACCTTCGCTGTCGATAACAGAAGTCAGCGAGCCACTTTCGTATTTAATGGGCCAGTATGGGGTAGTAAGTAGGTAGTGTAGGGGAACCAGGCAGCGTTCTATTTTGGCAATGTTTGAAACGGATTTTCACAAAAGCCATCACTAAAAGGCCTTCTAAAACCTGAGATTTAACCATCGTAGAAGTTAGGATACCCAGCAAAAGATTAGTTGGCCTTAAATGTAATCTTTGACCCGCCCTCGCCCCCCCCTCAAACCCTCCCCCCCTAATTATTTTTGTCCTATTGCTTTTCTGGCTCAATTTAGCGGCAGTCATGTCTTCCTAGGCAGCGTAGACCTTCTCAATCAAGATAGGTGTTCCCTTAAATAAGAGAGGAAAACGTGGGGTTTTTTCCCCCCAAGTTCACCAGCCTTGAATGCCTAAATCAGGTTTGCAAAGATAAGACAAGGGGGGAGCTCGAGGGAGGGGGGCCCCTTTAAATCTCTGTCTTGACCATCTCAACATGTTTGCTTGGAAGCCTTCAATGCTCCGCACTGTTTTTTTTTTTTAAAAAATCCCACGGGGGGAACAAGGACCTCCACGGAAGGCCCACCCCCACAGTGGTGACACCAGAACTGGGACTTTTGTTTAGTCGCGCACTTCCGTGTTCTTGGAATGGGGTGGTTAGGCCTACATGCGAACAAGGAGAACCAGCATTTGGAGTGTGTACGGACTGCTTCCTCGATTGCCTCCCAACGTTCCTGATGCAGCATTTCAGACCGGGAGGGAAGCAGCTGGGGGGGAAGGCTGTGAAGAGGTGTGGGGGTCTCAAATGCTTGTACCCTGAAATAAAAGGACTGACTTTACAACCTAACAAAGCCTCTTTCTGTACTGCCTGTGGGCTCACAAAAGACTTGAAGGATGGCAGTTGAAGGGTAGGCCTTAAAATGCCATTGATGGACTGTACCACGGGCTCTCAGGATGTGGGACGAACAATCAATCGGGGTTAGGATTCCACCTTGACATGAAACCCTTATCAGCTCTTTTGAGGTCTGTTGGATCCCTACTCCATTTTATTTATTTATACATACCCCACTTTTATTTTTATCAATAACTGAAGGTGGTGGACACACACAATACAACTTCATCTTCCCCATAACCACCATCCTAGGAGGCAAGTTGAACTGAAAGGGAATGACAGTCCCAAAGACACCCTGTTGGCTTTCCACACCTAAGCAGGACTAGAATTAAGGACCAAGAACTAAGTTTCCCGGTGATTGGCCCAATGTCCTCCAGTAGCTTTGAGGCCTTAGGTGGGACTAGAACTCATTATCTCCTGCCGATTGGGCCAAAGTCACTTCACCGGCTTTGCTGGCTAAAGCAGGGCTAGAACTCACCATCTCCTGGTTTCTAGCCCGATGTCTTAACTACTAGACCCAACTGGCTCTTCGGGTATACCAAGATTAGGATTCCCACATTGGAAATCTGAGGGGCTAGGAAGTTCTTTTGAATTCCTGCTTTTTAAAAACTTTACTTAATCCCTTCACCCGGCTTTCAGAGTTCTTGCCGCAAATCTTTGTGGGACAGTAAAGCACCACTTCTTCCAGATATAACCAACTTTTTGGACTCCACTTTCAGTAAAGATTTGAGCTTTTTTCTCCCCCTGCACGATAACAGAATTCCAAAATGCAGCAATTCAGGAGTTTCCAGTCATAGTAGAACAAAAAATGGCAATGCCTTCCTAAGACAGCTTTCCCCAGTTCACGGCTACCTGGGGTTTGTTGATCTCGGCTTCCTATTTGTTCAAAGCAGGCTTTCTCAATCTAGAGCTGCTGGATGTGGTAGGATCAGAGTTCCCAGCATGTGAGAAAGACCCGTGAAAAACGCATTTGAGAAGGTAGGCGCTTTTATTTTCAGGCACCACCACAAACGAAGCGTTTCCTTAGGAAGATTATTAATCTTCCTTAGGAAGATTAAATGCAAGATTACATACATACATACATACATACATACATACATATTTGTTTTCTTAAGTTTTTGCGGGTACTTACATGTATGGTATTCAGCTTTGTTCGGGTATTTTCCCACGTCATTATAGTTGTGCTTTTAAAGTTGTAGCAACGTTTCGGCAGAATCTCATCTGCCATCATCAGGCTTCTGTATTGTGTTTGTCT